CTCAAATGTGCTGTTGATGTGTGGTGTTCTATAATGTAATTAAAAAGGGAACGAAGAAGGAGCAGAGGCCAGCATGAAGCCGATTTTTCCCTCCATTCCGACTCTACCCCAGGAGCCCTAGATGTCTATCTGCAACCATTGGGAGTGGGCACGGGCACAGGCGGCGGGAGTGGTGACATCCTGCCACCCATGGCCCTAAGCCCACCCCCAAGTCCCAATATGTAAATGTCATGATAGTGTTCGGATGAATGTCTAAGGTGTACAGTAAAATTGGGTCCCAGGTGGATTTGCACAACAAAGATGTTAAATTGTTGCTCACAGCCCTCCCGAGACCCAAAGACCCTACGTGAGTAGAACTGGAAATGAGGAGGGTGGAGGTGTGCGGTGCAGGATGGGGAGAAAAATGACTGCAGGAGCAAATGCTCCCACAGTGAGGCAGCTCCCCCGCTGACTTCAATAGGTCCCCCCGTCCCCCGAGGTCCATCCCGGGTGCGAGGTGCCTCATCATCAAGGCCAGGCCCATGGGACCAAGACCAGGAAAGTACAGAGCCCAGAGGACCGCCAGAACCAGAACCAACAGTCCACAAACCCCAGAGCAGCCCAGCCCCCCATGACCTGCCCCCGGCCCCGCAGCCAGCACACCACCACTGAGGACGCCAAGCCCAGCAGGATAAGACGGCCGAGGGCACCCACCCAACCGCCGACAAAGCCAGGGAGAAACCCGAGGGGCCCCCCCAAACAGGAAAGGGGCCAACCACCCGACCACACATGGCCCAGTGCTGTCACCAAGGGCCATCCACCCAGTCCCCACCCCAGAAGACATACTACACCCATCCCACATTCGGACACCTCTCAGAACACATAGCACACTAGACACCCAGGCCGGGTCAACCTACCCCCATCTGCGGGCCTCGGCCGCACCCCCAGGCACCCCGCTCCCCAGCCCACCTGCACACCGAGGGCCCCCCCACCCAGAGCCAGACACCAGAGTGCAAGCTGGCCCAGGGCCCAGCAACCCGCCCCCCCAGCCCCACCAGG